GGGGGGGGTGGCCCCTTCTTCGGGACGCAGAAGCGATCTGGCGACAGGTAAGTCGCCAGGATCGCTTGGGACACAGAAGCGATCTGCCGGCTCTACAAGTTTAAACAGAGTCCCGGCGGCAAAAGTCGCCGAGAGTCTGTTTAAACAGCCCCGATGCTGGCGATGTACACTGTACGTAGTCAGTCACGAAGGGGTTAATGGTGTTTTGTAGATGAATGTTCTGTTTGACTTGTTTTCTGTTTCTTTGGCCGGGCAGGTCCTGTTAAACTCCTGTTGTAAAGCAGGTCAAGCGCAGTCTCTCTCTGGCATTATGCATTTGAATAGTGTTTCATTCAAATGCAAACCCCAGTGTCCACAAACTAAGCCTCTCTACACAAGCCCCAAGGCTGTTTTTGGCGTTTTCTAGAAAATAATTACCGTACTTTGATCTTTGTACTATATAAGAGTTGACAGAGTTGTCATCTTTTTATACTGAAAGCAAAGCATACAGCTCGTCCTTCGGCTCATAGGAGCTGGTATTTACTAAAAGTGACACTAAACTTAGGAGTTAAACCTAAAAATGCATTCAAGTACCTTAACTATTAACCAAGATGTATCTTTGTGCATCACTCGGCTGTAGAACCTTAAATCATCTCTGAATTGGTGCTGACACTGTCCTTCCTTCTGGATTGTGGCTACTTTTGTTCCCCCGTGGTCCGTGTGTGTGTTGTAAAGGATCTAGCACTCCAAGCTCACTCCCGTGATGGACTACAATCTCAAGACAAATTGGTAAACTAAACATGAGATTGTAGTCCATCACAGGAGTGAACTTGGAGCAGTGACTACTTTACAACACACACAGGTACCATGGGGAACAAAAGTAGCCACTGTCCAGAAGGAAGGACAGCGTCAGCACCAATTCACAGATTTGAGGATCTACAGCCGAGTGATACACAAATAAGATACATTTTTATTAATAGGGTACAAATGTATTTTTAGGATTTAAATTTAACGTCACTTAAACTGTGATATTTTACTTTTCGTGTACTAATTTTTGTCTAGGCCTTTTGGTTTAGTCATTTTCATCCTGATTTTTTTTGCCTCTAAGCTTCTGCTCAGAATTTCTACTTACTGGCATGGTTTTGTTTAATCTACCAGATGACAAGCTTATAAGTGATGGTGGAGGGGGTATCTTTGATGACCCACCCACTCTTCCGGAAGAAGGTGTCGCGATGCCTGTACTGCCTGCACATGACGACGATCTGGATGATGATGATAATGTATCACGTAAGTAATTCTGCGTAAGCTGCTCCACAATGCCATTAAAGTGTGCTTAATGTTCTCCTTATTGCTAGTGTTTGTCTCATTAAGTGTTTGGTTTATTAATATACAATATTTATTTCCAGTTGGTGGGGCAGACAGCCCTGATTCTGTGGATCCTGTGGAGCCTCTGCCAACTATGACTGATCAGACTACCTTGGTTCCAAATGAAGAGGAAGCTTTTGCTCTAGAGCCCATTGATATTACAGGTGAATATTTTTAGTTCCTAAAAATTGCTTAGCACCTATTTGTTTTAAGTGTGTTTATGTATACACGTGTTATATTAACTGTCTTTTATTTACATCTGCTAGTCAAGGAAACTAAAGCCAAGAGGAAGAGAAAGCTTATTGTGGACAGTGTGAAGGAGTTGGACAGCAAAACAATTCGTGCCCAGCTGAGTGACTACTCTGACATTGTCACAACCCTGGATCTGGCACCCCCAACCAAGAAACTGATGATGTGGAAAGAGACTGGTGGTGTGGAAAAACTGTTCTCCCTTCCTGCTCAGCCTTTGTGGAACCCTAGGCTCCTTAAGGTAAGAGACGTAAGATAAGAGCCTAAACTTGGCATTCGTAAATAACTTTATATTAAACATGCTTCTTCCGTCCATTGGTTTTCAGCTGTTTACACGTTGCCTCACGCCTGTGGTACCTGATGAGCTTAGAAAGAGGAAAAAAGGTGGAGAGGCTGATAATCTGGATGAGTTCCTTAAAGAATTCGAGAATCCAGATATTCCAAGAGAGGAGCTGAGACAACAGGATGTTATTGGTAAGTGTTCACCCTATTCTACCACCACTCAGAGCTAATGCAGCTTTAGTCAGATGGTTTATGTTCTGGTTAAAGAACCCTTTTAGTGTTTGGAAAATGAAATGTGTCAGAGAATGGGGGTTGAATATCCTTTCCATACAGTAGGAGCAGCTTCTGGATGTGGTACACTGTCTCCCGGCTACAGTTTCCTTTTTGACAAATTTAGCTCCTTTCATCATTCTCAATGAGAATTTGCCAGGACAATGAATAGAATGATGAGGGTTGGTTGAGTCTCCCCCACGTTCTCCTGACTTCACACCCCTTGATTTCTACCTATGGGGGACCTTTAATGGATAAGTTGTACCGTAGAAAACCGGCTACACTGGCGGTACTTTGGGAAGAATTTGGAACTGCGTGTGCAGTGATGCAAGTGATAGTACGAGATCACCTGCACTCCATACAGCGTACAGACCTTGGATGAGAGGTTGGTGTAAAAGTGACAACACGTGGCACCGTGTCAGCTACAGTCCATAATAGAAGTCACCAGCTCTCGATGTGTGCAAGAAGTAAAGCACATTTTTTTAAATCTTCACATGCGTCAAACAGCCGCATAGGCTGTATAACGCATGTGACGATTTAATAAGTGCTTCTTGCCCATATCGAGTGCTGGTGACTTCTATTATGGACTGTGATACAAGTGGACACTGGTCAACATTGCTCAAGTAGTAGTTCGCCGTAATCGGAAGTGTTGGAACGCTGATAACCACTTTGCACACCTTGTAGTTGCAGAAGTCAAACGTGGCTTGTATTCCTCTTTTGTTATCGGTATATATTGACTATTACAATTTTATTAGTTTTTTTCCTTTTTAAAGGAGAACTATGAGGAGTGCTTTTCACTCACCTCATAGTTCTAGCCGACCTGTGACAATGAGACTGTCGCAGGTCAGCTCAGTAGATCGGGAGGTGAGCGAACACATACCGGCGTTCTCTCACTTCTCGGTCCTGTCACAGCTGTCTGCCGTTAGAGGGAAGGGGCTGGATTCCCTGCTCCGATCCTCCAGCGCTGACTGGTTTAATGGACGGGGGAAGGGGTGAGTGACAGCTGGCTCTGCCTCTAGATAGGCAGAGCCAGCTGTCACTCACGCAGCTGGGCGGATCCAGACATAATTGTCGGGATCCGCTGCGGCGTCTGGGTATACCGCGAGCAGCAGCTTGCGGTATACTGCGGCGTCTCAGTATACCGCGAGTTGTAGCTCGCGGTATACTGAGCTTAGGGTGACTGGAGGACGCTAGTTTGTGTCCTCCCGTTACCCTAAGGAGAACTATGGGGAAAAGCCCTAACCCCATAGTTCTCCTTTTTAAAATGTGTGCATTTTCTGAACAATGAACTGGAGACTGAATTGCACTAAGTCACTTGGAACTCTCTAAAGTGGCTGATCTCAAAATCTATGCATTTGAAGAGTAGGCAAGTAAAAATAAGTAATATAAAATCGTAAGCTGCAGGCTTTTTAAATCCACCTAAAAGTTCATAATTGAAAGAATGAAGATTGTCTCCCACCCCTGCGCTCTTCTCTTACAACACAATATTGCAGTTCTTTAAATCGCTGGATCAAACGAAACCCCGCTTACATTTCTTGTGTAATGTATGGTGTAACTTAGCATGAGAACTACGGATATGTCACTGAGTTCACTCCTTGTATCATCCAGACCAACCTATTTTGGAAGAAGCCAGTAGATTGCAGGAGTCATTGATGGAGGGAAGCAGATCGCAGATGGATGAAACTGTGATGCCGCCGCCACCACCACCTCCTCCTCAGCAGCAAGGTGTGAAACGTGACTCTCAACAGATGGAACCAGAGCCATTGATTCCGGTATGTATTACTTGCCTTCCATGTGGCATATTAGGCTCCATTTTACTTTGCAATTTCAACCTATGAGACCCCTTTTCCCCTTAGGCTTACATAGTTGTATTTATTTTTTGTAGCAAGAACCAGAGCCTCAAATAGAGATGCCACCCATGGAACTTCCACCAGAGGAGCCTCAGACCCTCAGTGAACTAATCCCAGAGCTCAATCTACTACCAGAGAAAGAAAAGGAGAAAGATGAGGAGGAAGAAGAGGAGGTAATTACAAAGTGCAACTGACCATCAAAGATATATATATTTATTTATTTTTTTCTACCACATTTTTGGTCTTGTAATGATGTAAAAGGTTGCACGACAGAGTAATTGTCAGCATGGGAAATGACCTGGTAATGTAGGGTTATATACAGGCTAGTACTCAAGAGGTTAATAGTGTTTTTTTTTTTTTTAATTCAACTGTTGAAATTGAAAACCATTTTGGTTGCTATGGAGCAGACATGCAATACAGATTCATTAATTTATTTATAACATTTATTTTAAACATGAGGCACGGGGTTACCTTTTATGTGGCTTTTGGAAAATTGAGAAGTCACTGATATAGTTTTATAGGAACAAGATCTGCACACCTATCACCCCAGCTCCACCTATGTGCTGTGGGCACTGTATTCGTTATTCTACCTGTTGGCATTTTTGTAGTGCCTATATTTTTATTTTTCCTTCATTTTAATTGTTAATGTCAAATAATACATTTGATTACGTTTAGCAGTAATTAGAAGTGTGTGTTTAGGACAGAAAAAAAAAAAAAGGAATGTGGGGCCACACAGCAGTAACTGATTCTAGTCCTTCCCCGCTCTATGCTGGTTCTAAAGGGAAGCATGCAGCCAGTAAAGCAGGAACACTTGACCTGCGTGCCTGGTTTGGGGTCAGTGATCTAAAGGATGACTAGTAGAGATGTCCCAGAGGCACCCCATCTCCTTTAGTGGTTGAATGGCTTATTTGGCAGAGTCTTCTTCTTTTTTTTTTTTTTTTTTTTAAGCTTTTAAAGGCACACTGCACCTTTCCAACACTGTTTCATGTCACCCAAACACAGAGGGGGATTTAACAAAACTGGAGCAGATGTGCATAGTAACAATCAGCTTCTCTCATTTTCAAATCTTAACTGAAGATAGCAGCTGATTGGTTGCCATGCACAGCTGCTCCAGATTTTGTCTGCTCCTATTTTGATAAATTCCCCTCACTGTATATAAGGTGTAACGTGAAATGCACAAACCCCCCCCCCCTACTTAACTGCACAGCTGCCACCATTCTGCTAACAGGGATATGTGAATGGGAAGACTAATCAGGCAGAGGGACACAGATTGCACAAGTACGGTGACGTTCCTATGCCTGTAGACCACTGTTTAAAGGAGAACTATGAGGTGCGTGAAAATCACTCATCCTCATTGTTCGAGCCGACGTATGGCAATGAAACTGTCACACGTTGGCTCAATAGATCGGGAAGTGAGGCAACACATACCGTTGCTCGCTCACTTCTCGATCATGCCCCCGCAGAGAGCCGTGACTGTCACGGCTCATTCCCCCCTCTCCTATCCTCCAGCACTCACTGGCGGAACTGATGGGGGAAGAGGAGGCTACAGCTGGCTCTGCCTCTAGATAGGCAGAGCCAGCTGTCAATCATGCAGCTGGGTGGATCTCGAGAGTAATGTCGGTATCCGTCCCGGCTGCGGCAGTCTCGGTATACCGTGAGCTGTAGCTCGCGGTATACTGAGCTTTGGGGTCACGGGAGGATGCTAGTTTGTGTCCTCCCGAGAACAATGGGGAAAAGCAATGACTCCATAATTCTGCGTTTAAGCCCTCCAGACACGTAATGGAAGGTCCATACCTCCTTACTGACATTGGCCTAGGGTAAACAATGCTGCAGGAGCCTGTGCATTGCACCCGCAATGCATTGATCGCAGTTGCAATGCTCTGCAGGCTTGACTGGAAAAGTTGAATTTGTTTTATTTTATTTTTTTTACATTAGAGTTAGGTGCATTTATTATATTTTTGCTAAAGGTTGACTGTGCCTATTTAATCTGATTTTCCTTTTGTCCCCAAGAGGCAGGAAATACGCCTTCATTAGTTGTCCACTTTGTTGTTTTTAATTGCCTTTTGATTTTTACACTTGTTTGCCTTGCTGATTATTCGGCCTCAGCCTGCCGTATTGTTCAGAGTTTGGCTCCAGCAGTAAACGACTGTTTAAATATATACCACATTGGTGGCAAGTTGGCACTGAGGTGGCTTGCCTCTGTTTGCTCTCCTGAAATGACACAATGGTACATGGTAATCTCCCTCGCAAGCCAACAAAAACATCTGTGATTTTCACATCTCAATAAAAAATCTGCTTTGCTAAATATTTTCTTAGTGTAGAGACAGGAGACTCATTTGCTGCGTATCAGACGAGCAGGTAGTTTAGAATGGGATATTGAAAAATATGAATTCATTTTCCCCTTCACTTGTTATCCTATGAATATTAATCACGGCTTGCAGCTGTTTCTCTAAGTGTTGTTCTTGTTGCTGCAGGAGGAAGATGTCACAGGGACTGAGCAGGACCAGGAAGAGAGAAGGTGGAACAAGAGGACTCAACAGATGCTGCATGGTCTTCAGGTACTACACCCCTCCCAGGCCCCCCTCCTTTGGGTCATAACCACTTCCCTCATTGGCGTCATAGAGCAATCTATTGGTTTTTATCTTTAAAAGCGGTCAATGCCATCTATAGAATTTGCACTGCATCTTATTCTACTTTAGTAAAGTTGCCATCTGTAAGGCAGCTTTGTGCTTCACTTTCCACTTGATATAAACCTGTTGCATGCAAAGCATAGTAAGGTCTTGAAAGTAAATGGCACCGTCTGCATGTACCTATATGTCTTCTTGTCCTTGTCAAATCCTTCTGAATTCGAGGTAGTCATTATGTAGATGGTGGCATTTATCTGTAAAGTCACAACTATGACCGGCCTCACTGACCTATATAGAAGCGAGAATTACATCGAGCCAGAGGTCTGACTTTAAAACAGACAGTTCTTTTGTATAATGAGCTCCCTGGTTTTACAGGCTCCTGGTAGACTTGGCAACTTGAAGAAACCTGAATCATTTCCAGAATCCTACACTTCAGGAGTATGGTTTCCTTTATTCCTGCTGCACTCGATCGTCCGATCTGCCGCCCCCCACATCGCTTCTGTATCCTGTGGGGTCCGGCAGGAGAAATGGCATGCAGCTAGGAATCTACACTCGTGAGAGCTTTGGATTCTGAATATTTGTCAGCTGGCTGTATATTGACAGTGTTATTTACTAAAGGGTGACGTTTGGACAAGTGAACCAACGAGGCTAACATGGCTGAACTGGAAATATTCTCCAATTCAGCTCACTTTCCAGTTCAGCTATGTTGTCCTAGATTGTTCACTTCTCCTGCCGTCTCCAAATTCTTCACCCTTTAGTGAATAACCCTGTTAGTGTTGCCATGAGAATCCTTTTCATCACACATGCTTTTATTTTACAGAGAGTCTTGGCCAGAACGGGGGCTGAATCCATTAGTTTGATTGACCTGTGCCGGAATACAAACCGCAAGCAAGCTGCAGCAAAATTCTACAGTTTCCTGGTTCTTAAAAAGCAACAAGCTATTGAGCTGACCCAGGAGGAACCGTACAGTGACATCATCGCCACACCAGGCCCAAGATTTCATGTGGTCTGACTTGCTTCTCCCTCCAGCCTGAGCAAGTGACCTCACCACACATTTTATGAACCTCTATGCTGGAGCTTGCATGGCAGAGCCGTGTGATAGAGGCTTATCGCAACACCAACCTGGTCAAAACCATGTCATGTCTCCCTGCTGGCGTTTTATTGGGCATGGTTATTTTAATATATGTACAAAGTTTGTCCATTTTGTTTTTTAATTTTTTTCTTTAAATGTAACTTCTATATTTTTATGGGTTATAAATGTGGATTTGGGTGGGTGGGGGGATCATTTTTGGTTTTCCCAACCAACTCATTACAACTTTTCTGGAGTAAAAAGCGTAGAGTGAGATTCAGGCAGTTGTGTGCAGTATTGTAATTATGATCTTCAACTTTCTATAGCCGCAGGGCTGGGTTCCTGCACTGAAATGACAGTTGTTAGTTCCAGGTCAGTAACTGATGAGCATTGAAGATTGGAAGTCTAGCCAGGCAACTTGCATTTTTAGGTGGTCAACATTGATATCCTACAACAGGTTACACATTTCCTGTGCTTCGGGCACTCAGATCTGCCAGCAACGAACGCTTATCGCTCTCCCTTTTCTCAGTAATTTTCTTTATGGATATTGCAGCATCAAGTGCGAGATTAATAGAAGGTGATCCAGCCATCTAGTGTCTGTTTATAACTGAAGTTTTAGATTTGGAAAGCCGGACTCTTTTCTTGTAGTCTGCAACCAAAATATTTATATGATGTGTTAGATTTTCCTACCGATAAATCGTGAGTTCACATCTCCTATTGTAATTTACCACTTACACAGCTTATGACAACAGTAGAGTAGCTACCATGCCTTTTTACTCTGACTTGTGTATAGAGGAGGCTGTATGGTGGCTGCCCCCCAAAAAATTAAGCTTGTAAGGGGGAAATCAGGATTTGACTCGAAAGGGGAGATTTACAGTTTTGCCAGTGTTGGTATTTAATCTTGGATTACCAAATTGCAAATATTAGGTGTGGAGTTTGCTCCTCCACTACTTAATCATTGAGTTTATATCCTCTTGGTGGAATGGCTTCTTTGACTGTAAGGGAGTAGACGTTTAAGTTGTATTTCTACCTTTGCTGCCTAAGTGATAATCACACCTACATTAGACGTGTTACAGGTTTCCATTCACATAACATAACTTTAAATTATTTTTGTAAAATCAACTTATTTTACTTATACAAAAATCTTATTCCGCCTCTTCCCTTCTTTCATGTTGAGGGAGCTGGGGAGTTATATTTTCCATAATTAACAGTGTCTGCACATTGTTGGCAGATCTCCATTATTAAACTAGATGATGGCACAAGGTCTGTCCTAATAAACGGTAAAGATATCAAACCTTGGCTGGTACATTGTATGTTAATGCACTATTAATCTAGTCTCACCCTAAAGTGTCCCTAAATAAGCATAGGGCAACCTGCCTTTGAGTCCCCGTGTATAATCCTGCCCCAAAGAACCCCAAAAACTATATTTTATGATTTTTAGGTATGCTGTGTGAATGGGAATCCATAGCGTTACTGAAATGTGGCTGCAAATATGGAAGTACACTTTAAGGATGGTTGCTAGCTTCTTGAAGTAGATGTGTCTGCAGATGTCAGAGGTGACTAGGAAGAGGCTTTTTTCTTGCATGCGGAGGAAGCAGTTTAGTTGTATTTGCAAACACGCAGCCCGTTTACAAGAGACCAGTGACTTTGGAGAGCTGCAACCTCTGAAATTCCGCATGACAGAATGGTTTCTTGCACCAAGCGTGCACAGCAGATAGTCTGACATCTGGTGCATCTGTGGCTCAGTTTGAGTTTTTTACATTGGCTTTTATTCTGCTTTTTGTAGTCGTACATGTAAAATATTTCTGTAAATATACACATTTTAGTATTTTATGGCATTAAAAGAAATTTAAATAATCAAGTACTTTGCCTTCTCATTAATAGACCATATTTGGTGTTTCTCTGCCCATTGGAATAATTGTGTAAATCATAATTATGTTCGAAGTGGAGATTGAGACCTGAATGTAATTATGATGTTTAAGCTGACGGCTTGCGCACTCAATTGCAGTGTTTATCTTGTCGCCTAATTGTGTGAAGAGGTTTGCTGTGGGCTTGTGATAGTCTTCCAGAGATTGGTAAATATCGAACTAGCACTGCGTTCCTAAAAGGGGTTTAATACATTACCTACCGTATATGTCCTTTGGAGGTGTCGGACATTCTGCAGGATGAAGCTTCTCTTTGCTTTATCCTCTTGATATTCAAACCCCATAGTCAATGTTTGGATTCCTCCTGCATGTTAGTGAGCACACTGATCAAGCAAAGTTGACATTTCTTAAGGCTTTCTTGTGAAAGGTTAGTAGTAGAAAGCTCCTGCTTATCAGGTTCTCTCATCCAGCAACATGTATCCATATGCATTGGTAAAGTGACATTCTAGAAAGGTATATGCACAGTGGACTGTAGGTGGGTTATTGCACGTTTCATTATTCAACACATTACAAATCTTCTTGATTTTGTTTTTAAAACATGGTACTTGCTTATCTTAAAGCCCATTTCTACCTTTGCCGGGGTATTTAAAAAAAACATTTGCCAACAATGTACACGAAGTGTACATGAAGCAGGCATACGCAGTTGCTGTATATGAACACAAACTTACTTTGTCCATCGCCTCGTGGCTCCTTTTGAAATGGCTGCCTCTGTACTCTGCAAGCAGTCTGTGTAAACTAACACACTGAGCTTTCTCCCCCTATTCATTAGTATTCAGATTGGCAACCCCCCACCTCCCTCCCTTGACACCCCCCTGACAGTGTACTGTCACGTGGGAAGGCAGAGCTTGTGTGCAGAGATCTTGTTATGATGACTCACAGGGAGGAGGTCATCTGCTTTACAATGCCACCCCAGTGTCAGTTTCCATGTGGAAAATGTTTTTGTTTTTTGTAGAATTGGTAAAAAGTCTATGGAAAAAGCCAGCAATGTGAGTCATGCAAATGTCCACACATATACATCATCACTGCACCTCTACATTACCACAATAGATGCTAATCACTTGCAAAAGTGGAAATGGGGTTTTAAATAACTTTTTTTTTTCCCCCTCCAGTTCAGTTCCCTCTCTGCCATGGGTCAGTTGTAAATAACACCCTTGTGCCCCTGTTTACCTTCATTCCTACAACTGCAATGTAATGCCATTAATACAATTATAGTAAATACATGCTCCAGTTTGGTAGCATCCTGGTTCAATGATCCTTCATTGGTCTCCAAATCAATATGGAATTTAAATGACCACCGTTACCAGGTAGAAAATATGCCAGAAAAGAGGAGACGCTACATCAGCCTTTCACCCCGAAGGAACCCTTCAAATGATTTTGAGGTCTTGGGAAAGCCCTGCTGGAAAGGATTATACTGATCGCTCATGGCACGTTAGCAGCGGGATCGATATTGTTCAGAACTTCCCACCTTTGCATCAGACCGGCCATATAACGTTTTGAGCTGTGTAGTACTGGCAGTGCTCCGCTTCTGAAGTACCCAGATGAGCTGCCATGTCCTAATGCTTTGCTTTTAGTTCCTCTGTATAAAAAATATACTGCTGGAAGATCTTAAACTCCCAGTTCACAAAAATTGTTATACCTTTTGGCCCAGTTTGTCCTATCGATGCAACTAAATGACCTCTCCTGGTTCTCACTGGGAATGTCAGACTGCCTGCCCGTAGCGATGTCAGGCAGCTCTCCTTGTTCCATTGGGATTCTTGATTTCATTATAGGTAGAACCCCTTTTTGTAGCATTCATTTTGGAGGATATCTGTGGTTGCCGTGTCCTATCAGAGAGCAGCCGTCTGTGTTTAAACCACAACCAAGAATTTGAGGCCATGTATAAACGCAAAGCTTTGTGTTTTGGAGTGCTTGAGAGATCAGGTAAGGCTTTCCCTTTTCATTCTGTCTGTTTTTAGAGTGTCAGGGTAAGATTGGTTGATTGCAAAGGGCAACTCCTTTACGTTGTATGAGGCCTCGTCCTCCAAATCAGTGATCAGCTGGGATCCATAGCAAGTGAACACAAGCTTTTAGCAGATTACTGTCTGCATACAAAACATTTATCGGTAGCTTTGGGTTGCTGCTCAGCACTGATCTTTGCGTCATGTTTGGTAATGAAGACCAATTTTACAATGTGGTTCAGACATGTTTTTATCTTGGCGTAGACTGTTTTAAAGTGAATGTTCTCCATTTTTTACTTTACATTTCAAAGTTTAATACTGCACACTCCTGTTTAAGATTAAAGGACCCGTCACCTAAATCAGTGCGGAGGTAAAACTGTTCCCTGTCAATGCTCACCGGCTGCCCTAATGCAGAGAGAGCGCCGAGGAAACACTCTTCAGAAACAGACATGGTTTGTGTCATTTTCCTGCTACGCTCTCCTCTCATACTCCATCACTACTGTATCCTGCAGTGATGTGGAGGCCACAGAGCACAGCAAGGGACCCAAAATCCAACACTCAGGAGGCTTCTGGAGGTGATTTCTTTTCATTCGAGGTGTTGGTTGCTCGGGCAGCCGGAGTTGAGCATTTACCGTTTACAGGAAACCTTTTTATTCCCACTTTAAGTGTTTAGTGAGTTTTTAAGCAGAAAATCTTACTGAAAAGAACTGTATTGTCTTGATTTTTTTGTTTTTTGTATCACTGGTTTAAAATGGCACTTCTCTTGGTTGTACCAAGTTATTTTATTTTTCCTTTATGAATCTTGGTGAGGTAAATATAAATGTGTTATTTTCCTATAAACTTTTGTTCCGTTCACCGTTTTTATTTGGCTTTTACATCCATCGAACACATAAACTAACCCTTGCAATGGGGCTACCTTTTGCATGGCAAGGGTCAAGTGTTCTAGCTACGGGCTTAAAGTAGATTTACTCACCCAATCTTTGGTCCTGTGGACTGGTCCCCGCAGCCTCTTTTCCCCGGGCTCCTGAGGTTTAAGGACCACTGACCTGCATAAGATGGGAGGATGCTGAGGGACATTACAACATCAGGAACAGGGGGGAGAGACCTGAGTGCCTCAGGTCAATAAATCTACTTTATTTAAGCTCCCTAGACAAAGCAAGCACTTTACCCCTGCAGTCCTGGAGTTCTTCTTTAAAGGATTAGTCTATCTTTAAGACCATTTTTCATCACCCCTATTTAGTGTCAAATGAAACATGGTCACATTTCCCCACACCCAGGCTTACCTGAATAGCTATGGCATCTTTGAATAAAAGACTTCAAGGCCTATCTACCTCCAAGGCAAAGCGACTTGTAGATCTCAATAGAGCACAATGCAGAGACATCAAAGCACTTGTAGTCAATTGTGTATGTCCTCCAACCCTATAACTGAAGACCTAT